AAATGGATTTAACTTCTGTTAGACAGCCATATGCCATACAATTTTGCTTACATTCACAGTAAATATTTATTCCGTATGATAGCTGTCTAACAGAAGTTAAATCCATTTCTCACTTATTCTGACAATGTACTTAACCCCAAATAAAAGAACGCAATAAAAAGAGTTGTTAAATAATAGTGAAGTCATGTTGTAATAACAATAACTCATCTCTCTCGAGTTTTATTTGCCAAAAGCCACTGTGTCAAGTGTCCTTCTTGGGTTGCCGTCCGGAGTTCTCCAATATGGCGGACCATCTCGCACATGCGCAGTACAGATCGGGCAGGGGGACGGATCGGGTAGTGACACACAGATGGAAGGCTGACAGGCAGTTAGGCCATCCAGTTATTTTAGCCGGGCCGGCTCAGATGATCGGTCGTGCTTTTCACAGTACTACGGCTTCCACAGATGACATTTTTTAATGGATTTTTTATCAAAGCACTTCAGATATTCATTGCTATCGGGATGTTAAGAGCATTCCATGGAATATAACAAAAAGTGTATCTCGAGCCGGTTTCTCAAACTCACCTACCCCACCTTTAAATATCTAATCAAATATGTTATCAATGAGTAGTTTTCAGAAATAGCTCAAGCTTATACAGCAACAGAAAATTAAATAAAAAAACTCTGCTTCTTTTGTCAACCCTCCTCCATCCAGGTTTCTGTGATCCTGACTCTGATGGTGCCGTACGATGAGATTGACGCAGACGCTCCGCTCATGGAGATGTTTGCCGTGCATGGCTGTATGTTCGCAAAGTATATCGTGGCGGTGGGCTCCATAGCAGGACTCACTGTATCCCTCCTGGGGTCCCTGTTCCCCATGCCCAGGATCATCTATGCCATGGCAGGGGACGGCCTGCTGTTTAAGTCAGTAACTTATTAATTGTTCATTTTCTTCAATTTAAATAAAAAAACTGAGTCTCTAATCTTATTTTCCTGTGTGTTCAGGTTCCTGGCCAATGTGTCTCCATACACAGAGACCCCTGCTGTGGCGTGTGTGGTGTCGGGCTTCCTGGCTGCCCTGCTGTCTCTCATGGTCAGCCTCAGAGACCTCATAGAGATGATGTCCATAGGGACTCTGCTGGCCTACACCCTGGTGAGTTTTATAATTCTGGACACATCACATTTTTTACATTTGTTCCTGAGATTTTGAGATGATAAAAAATTATTGTGTTATCCCCCAGAGATTTTTGCTGGGAAAGCAAATTCCTCCTACACTTGAATGATAATTATGTGAAAACTTAAGACAAGTAGGAAGAGAGTCTTAGCTGATATGCTATAAGTTAAAGGTCCACTATTATACTGTTTTTCATCAATATATTATAGGTCTCAGATATATACAAAACATGTCTCTGAAGTGTTGGGCTCGAAATACCGCTTCGCCGAACTGCATTGTGGTTCCGTCGCGATGCTTTGCCTCCGTTGCTCGCTTCGAAAGTTGAGAAAAGTTCTACTTTTCAAGCGTCGACGGAAGCGTCAGCCAATCAAATCATATGCCCGTACAAGCTCTAGCCAATCAAACCGCGTGCTTGTGTGTCCGGGGCGGGAGATTAATGTGATTGGTTGTTGGCCGCGCTCCAGA